GAATTTGGTATTTAAAAAGCTAATGTTAGTTCAATTATAAATTTAAATGGTTTTATTTCTCGCGCAGTGCAGCGCGTGACGAATATTAAAAGAAGCTAAGCCGGAAAATTGAAAATACAAGAGCGCGTGCATTAATAAATAATATCTCTTTTTGATTCGAAAGTACTGAAAATTCTAGCGCGTGATTTTAAAATCTTATAAAAGGAGGAAACATCTCAGTTTGTAGTAGTTGCTTAGTTTGTGTTGTTTAGAATACTGCTTTGTGATTGTAGCGAATTCGCGGATTAGCGTTCTTTAGCTGTTTTGAATTGCGTTCTGTTGGATATTGAGTAGTTAAAAGAAACTACTGTGAGTATTGTAAATACTGCATGATATTTGAAAATTTAAGCATTTTTGTTGTGATAATAATAAATTTTTGTTCCTTTTTCATCGGACTTGTGCATTCATTTCATAACGAACCCGACGCACGAACAATATATTTTAATATCCTTTTCTATTAAATTTATTTGATTCTCTTTCTTTCACATTTCGAAATTTAGGTTCATTCCATAAACTCGAAGCCATTTATTTTCCGTTTTATTTTTATTATCTGAACTAACTTTACTTTGAGTTTGTGCATTGTAGTTTTCTTTCTGCCGATCCACTATAGACCTTTTTTGAAAGTTTCCGCGGACGTTTTAGTAGGCATCAAGGTTTTCAGCTAATTTCTTGGACGAAATCATGTCAACCTCTCGTCAAGAAAATGATCTAGAATTTCAAGAAAGACTCAACCTTTAATTTGGTCAATCACCATCAAGTCTAACAACCAATCAAAGTTTCATAGGCATCAAGTTTTTCAGCTAATTTTTAGGACGAAATCATCTCAGCCATCCGTCAACAAAATGATCTAGAATTTCAGGAAGGACTCGATCTTTAAGTTGGTCAGTAATCATCAAGTCTAGCAACTGACCAAAAGTCTCAACTCTTAAGCCAGTCACCCATTCTTTTCAATAATTTTCTATTTCGTAGTTGAAATCTATTCATATGGATCTTTTGATGTTTTATGTATTTCTGCCTAAACTTTTCGGAGTTTGGCTTAAACCATCTTAACAATAATATTCTTTACGTGTTAATAGTCTTTAGCTTTATCGAACGATCCTCTTGATAATAACTGTGTTACAGTCCAAATAAATGCGATACAAATTCTTTTTTGTCAATTTGAGCCCATTCCGCTAGCCTTTGAAACAGTAGCACATATAGACTGTTATCTCCTTTCTTACCATCGAATTTCTGCATAAGGTTACGCAACTCAGTTTTCGGCAGGACCTGTCCAATATTTTGAGACTTTGTCTCTGCTTCAAGTCTTAATCTCTCGAATCATACTGTTCTTAATCTCTCGAATCTCTCGAAGTCTTAATCTCTCGAATCATACTTAATGATCGTCTGTCACGATTACTCAGGACACACTTTCGTCCGCGCTGTGATTTAGCAGATGATGTTTTTTCGCTTTTCAAGTATGCGGAATAAATCTTCGATACAGTACCTCTTGAAACACTAAACACCTCGGCTACCTTGCTTACGGAAGCACCTACCATACGTGCTCCAACAATTTACCCACGTTCGAAGTCTGTTAACTCTGACATAATGCAATGACAACCTCACAAAGCAGTACTCCGACAACAACTAAATTCATTTATCTAGGATATTATCTTTAACCCTCCTCTACCTACTTATCTTCAAGGTCATTACAACGAGATTAGTAACCTTAACGTTCAAATTAAGGAATAACCGTTTGTAACAGATTTTTCTTTCTTCCCTATGTCATTTTTACAATGGAAAATAAACAATTTGTGATATCTGAAGAATTTTTGCCAAGATCTGAAACTGAAGAGAGTTGAGAAGTGTAAAATGTTAAATGCTTTAGAAATATTAACTCAATTTGAAAATGGCAAGAAACCTCTCGATTGGAAGGAGAGATTTAGTAATTTTTGGTTGTAATCTAGCATTCTTAAAAATGTTCAAACTTAAAACAGTATTTACTTACTCTTAAACAGGGACTTAACCAAAAGACAGTATCATATGAGATGAAAGACGTATTCCTTAGAGCCGTTGTCTGTTTATTTACACGCGTCTATGTGTTTCATGACAGCAAACGAGCAAAACCACAAGTTTAGAGAAAACTTATAATCGCCATCCCATGCTTGTGTTTCTGCTTACAATTAAAGATGTTTCATTTATATTAATTGACATCGATGATCTATATTTGTAGTTTTTTACAATCATCCAGTACAGCGGTCGCCAACCGGTGGTCCGTGAAAACGTTTTGATGGTCCGCAGAAAAATTGAGACTTTATTTACATTTTTATGAAAAATTCAGTTTAAAAAATGACAAGTAACAAAACCTGTTATGGAATATGGATTATCCTTTTTTTATTTTAGCTAATACTTTTATCGAAATTCCTTCTGAATTTATCGACTTTTAGATACTTTTGTAGATGTATCTAGCGGCATTTGAAAGTGAGAGTTGGCGTACATGGATATGCTACTGTTATCAATAATAGCGCGAAATAGAAATTTCTTTATTTTTGAATTACAAACATATGCTATTGTAGTCGTTAATAATTTTCTCCATGTCAATAGACAACTTGATTTTTATGAGAACCATCTGCATAATTGCATCACTGGAAGTTTCCGTTTTTGCTTTATCTAACTGTAAATCGATGGCGCCATTGCTGAGTAAGCGATGATTATTACGTTTACAATAATTAAAAATTGGCGGCATAACACTTTCAGTTTATTGATATTGCTTTGCGTTTGCCTGTTTGTTCTTGTTTTTCGTAAGTTACTTTTCAGTGATATGGAAATTTGAAGCTTTGTACAAGAAGGCAAGATTTTTGTACTTTTCATATAATTTTTCAATGTGAACGAAATATGCGTATCAGTGAGATATTTATAGTGTTTTAATTGTTATTATTAAATATCACACTAAAAATACATAATACTTAAATTTTTATTTTTTTTTAAATAATTACTTGTAACCTTGTTATAAACCTGTTACTTCTAATGGGTGCATTTGATATTAATAAACTAAAAGTTTGCTGATTATTATTGTGTAAATGTATTTATCTTTTTTTAAATTCACATTACTGGTCTGCCAAATATAAAATTACATATGTAGTGGTCCGTGAAGTTCTAAGGGTGGACGACCACTGATCCAGTATGCATTGCATCTGCGATGCACTGAATATTTTGCTCTACAGTTTAATGTTTCTTAATATTGTTTTTATTTTTCACAAACTTTTCTTCCATTTTCTAAATTAAAAACATCGAAATTGTGCCAAATAATACTCAAGAATTATGGAAAATCACAGCATCGAGACTAGAGAATGAGTTTTGAAGAATTTAGATCCCATTCAGGATGCCTACGTTATTCATTTGCTGTTAGGGAAACGTTCAATTCGTTAAGACGCTGTCCGAAAATAAAGCTGACAACGGAGGCTTAAAAATAGCGTATCTGGTAAGAAAATAGTCTGATCTAAGACAGAAACAAAAATTATAGTTTAAGTTAAGACTGTGTAACTAAAATTAATTACCCCTTTTTCAAGTACAAATGGGTGTACACAAATGAATGTTCCAGTTCCAATGGTATATTATAATAGTTTAAGACTACAACACATCATACATCAAACTGAAGGTAAACTAACCTTGTGTTTCTTACATATGTTTAACATGCATCTTTAGTTATACAGGGCAGATCCAATCTTTAGTCCAGTTCTTAACATACTTTAGTCAACAACGACCAATCCAACGGTTAAGGACTTCGACGTTGACCCACTCTTGTATGAAGAGATTTCATACGACGGAGGTTTTGAAATTTTCAGACATGTCACTGCCTATTTCTCCTACTAAAAATTTACCTTTTGAACTTCCTTAAATCCTGACCTCGTAGCGGGGTGGTCGCTATCGTTATCCTTTCCACTTCCGGACTGGGCACAGCAAAATGTGGTTATCTATTTGTTCGAAACGTTTCTGATGGATGTTTTCCCATCGAGTGTCACGGCGGGTTTAATGGAGGCCCGCATTCTATTCAGTAAGAAGATTGAAACCCTTCCACTGGGTTTACTGGAGCCGGTGGGGTCTGCGACGTTGATGGGGCAACGAGTTGGTGGACTGGTCTTGGGCTATAAGCGGAATTTATTCGGGCACCAGATGTAAGATCTAGTTTTCTTAGCTAGCATAAAATGTAAAGAGATCTACATGAGTATTTATCCTTTCGAATTCTCGCACAAGTTTGAACATAAACACAACCAGTGGAAGGATGAAAAAGCCGCCTTTATTGAACACAAAATATTTAACAGGTGATGCGGACTTACGTGCTTACTGTTAATATATTTGTAATCGCATTCTTATTGGTTAAAAAGAATTATAGCTTTCTGTTTTGTCCGATGTATTCTGAAACTTTATCTATATTATTTGTTTATATTTTCTGTATGCTATTTTTGATTGGTTGTATTATGTGTTTTGTTTATGATTCGCTAAACAATGATCTGCTGTAAAGTTATATATATAACCTCTGTAAAGTACGTGGTGGTGTTGGTGAAGTTGAGAAAATCAATTAAAAAATCTTCATTCTCTAGGATTACACAGGAGCTTGGAAACACACTTAAGTCCATTTGTAAACAGCAGGAGTAATATAGAAAACATATTTAATTAACAACGTATAGACTGTGTACCTTACATTCAGTAAACATATTTCAATTATGCTTAACTAAATTCTTTCATTTGTGACCATAAAAATAAGTAATCTAAAATACTAGTTATTTAATGAAAAAAAAATGTACAGGAATCTCAATACATTAAAGTGTAATAATATGTTCTTTCTTAACGAGAAATTCTTTAACGAGATTAAGTGTAATAATATACAAAGTTATGTTTGATAAAGTAATCATTTTCAAAGATTCAGGAATTTTATATATGTTTCTGCTTATGCATCAAACACTTAAATAAATCATTATGAGATATCGGAGGGTATATTAAAATATTTATTGGATATACATACAAGCTAGATAGTTAGAATATTCAACTTTTCGTGGATAAAATGAAACATTTGTATTCAAAAGAGGTGATGACACATTCCCTGTTCACGTGAGATTTCTGGAAAGTATGAATACCTTGTAATCAATAATATCATTCTACAAGAGGCAGATCTACAAGAGGCTACAGTATTTTGGTAAAATAAACTTCTACAGTAATTCTATAGTTGTACATCAAGAATACAATGAAGGAAAGGGACAAAACTACAAAAACAAAGACTAATAATGAATACTAAAAGTAAAATACAAATAAAAATATTAAGTATTACAGTAATAAATATATCCACCTACACCACCCAGTATCAAAGACAAAGCTTAATTAAAAATTATCAATTTTTTAAATGATCTCCATTTCTTATTTAGTTATTAATACCTTTAGATTCCATTCCATTCACTTAAAGACAGTACTTATAAAGTTCTTAACAGAATAAGCATTGTTTGGTGTTACATGTTCGTGAATTTACATAAATATTGCAACGTACTTACAGCTACTTTGTATGTGTTTAAAGGATCGTTTTAAAACAGAAAAGATATTTGAAGTGTTTGGAAAATATATTTGGTGAAATTGCCACTGATACTGCCATGCATTCTGGCGGCTGGATTTCTGGTTTCGCTAAAAAGAGTCTGTCATGTGCGGAAGGAGAAACGTAAACGTGGTGTATTCAAGCACCTAAGGGTCACCGTCATCATCATGTTTACTTTATCCAAGGGATCCAGAGTTGTAATTTTGAAGTTGCGAAGAAGATGAGCTAAAATAATCTTCATTTCCATCATTGCATATATGGAACCTAAAATACGTGGTAAATACTTACTAACAGTCTTAATAATGTAATGAAGAAAGCAATGCATGACAAAGCATAATGATAACATTAAATCTGAAGAACAGTGCTCTCTTATATTTCGTTATTCATTAAAAATTAAAGAAGTAAATGTGTAACGTGCAGAAGTCAGAACATCCAGCTAGCAACTGCAGGACCTCTATTTCGATCCCCGTCGAAGGCGAAATTAAAATTTTAAAATATCTTGCTGCAGTAAACTTAACGGTATTACAAATCCCCTTATAATACATTAGTCGCAATTTCGTTGCAAATGACATGATGGAGAGAAATCAAATTTTGCACACATTCCTAACCAAGAAATATATATATAATTTATGTTATGATATTGCATTATTAATTTTTAACTAGTTTTTAATTAGTTTAATACAAAATGTTCATACTTTTGTATAATTCTCTTTAATCTGAATATATTAAAAAAGTTGTATAACTCTCACACAAGATGAATTCAAAGTTTAAAATATCCAAAACTGAATGAGTTTTCCTTAAAGGATTATTTACATAAGTTTTGGTATTTTTGACAGTATATCGTAGGTAGATCTTAAGTGGCATTCGTTAATTAAAATCAACTAACTTATATTTCGCATGAATAAAAAAAAGGAAAAACTAATAGCACATTTCAATAATTTATGTGTGTGTGTGTGTGTGTATTTAATTATGGCAAAGCACATTAGGGCTATCTGCCTAAGAGGAGGGATGCCTTCCGTGAAGGACTTTCTAAGGGAAACTGGCTCGTATACACGTTACACATGGGGAAAACCATAATAATTTATGAGTACCGACACAATGAGACTTTAAATGTACGTTCTTTTAACGTACAGTCACTAAATACGAGTATGAATAAAAGAATGCAGTTTTCCTTTAACAATTGGTATTTGTTTCGAATTTTGCATCATCTTAACAGTTGGTATTTGTTCCGAATTTTGTGTATAGATGAAAGATTTTTGTGTAATCGTTTGTGAAATTGTTGTGTTCTGCTCCGTAATGTAACGCGATAAATTTGTAGGAATTGAGAAAAGGTTAAATAATTAGCTGAATAATAAATGAAAGTAATATAATTCAGTAATAGTTTGATCATGTTTAGAGTTATTAGGAATGTCTTTCAGAGTAGGCAACAGGAACTAAATTCAAGGCTAGATGTAAGACGTCAGCAGTTTTATATTACTATCTTGTAATTTTTGTGCTTTGTGTAAATACATTTCCTGTACGTTTGGTGTGTTAAAATGTCTTTCTAAATCACGAATCCTCGTAGATTTAACTTCTACCACCCAAATGGTTTCTAGAAATCTAAAGATATTTTAAACTACGCCAGAAAAATAAGTATAAAGGGAAAAGTCCATTTATGGATAGCTCGGTAATTTGGACAGATCTTGCCAAGCTGATGACGGTTTTGACCACTTATTTTGTCCCCAGATATGAAGAGAAATCTCCAAAAGTAGCCAAATTTGGTGACCATTCGGCGACTTTTTAGTCCGGTCCCTGTATCACCATAATAGATATTGTAATTGAATAAATGTATATTTTAGCTGTAACTGCTATTTAAACCTCATATTACTTTTCAGTAATGTCAAAAAGCAGAAAGTACTAGAAATTTCTAGACGGCGAGTTGAAAACTAATAGCACTCCGCTCTAACGAAATAAGGCCGGAGAGAGAGCATCTGAGGTCAGTTATTTAGTTACTTATTGTTGTTATTGTTTCGAGTTGTTAGTTCACCGTGAGATGGGATTAGCTTTCTCTTAGATGCGCTCTGCATTACGTTGCGTCTACCGTTCTTAGCAGTTTGAAAGATAATTACAGATTGTGTTTTGTGATACTGTAAACACCTATACGAGTATTTCTGTGTAAAATTTCAGAAATTTGAAGTGCTTCATTTTAGAAAAATAAATTTCATTAATCTATCATCGGACTCGTGTGCATTCAATCTGTTACGAACCCCCACGTACGTTTTGGTGCCAGGAGTGGGGTTGAATGCCTGTGACAAGAGCGACTGATGAGCAGCTAAGACAGTTGGTGACTGCCTTTGCTGCATTCAAAGAAATGTGGAAGGCGCCATCAACTCCGTCTATTTAAAAAATGCTGTTTCCGAATAAGCAATTAAAACACAATTTCAAATGTTTAGAACAACCATTTCTATTTATTTTTAGCAATAACAATAGTAAAGAAAAAACTGGTAACCATAATATCCCTTTGTGACTGCTCAGATAGTCTCACAGACGATGTGCTAGCTCATAGCATCACAAATACAAAAACTTTAAACACCGTCAAAGAAGAGAAAAATCCAAAAATCCGTTAAAGAGGACATGGAAGTTGTTGAAGTTCCGTTACAGAAGAAATGAAAACTGTTCAAGTAAAGACTAAAGCAGGTCAAGCAGAAATGAAATGAGAAATTACCCGTGTAATTGGAAACAAATTCGAAGCTATGGGAGGGAGAATAGACACGGTTGAAGACAAAGATGCAGAAATTCAGGAGAGAGTGTTTGCCTGGAGGAACAACAAATTGAAGAAAATCGTTTTGCCTTCTGACAAGAATCGGACAATATATTGATCACAGGGTTTCTGCGGTCGTCGAAGAAGTTGAAACCATAAAAATATTCGTAGCGGCGGTAGGGCACAATTTCGATGGTTTTAAATTCTCATCCATGCCTGCTCGTCCTTCTCAAAAGTTGTCCACATATGATAGGAAGAACTCCTGAGAGTAAGACTACATTTTCTATAGTGACGCAGGCGAACGGATGGGATTCCCAAGCTAAGGCCTGTCATCTCATCACTTCTCTGAGAGAAGCCGCTGCGGATATTCTTCACATTCGTCCCGAAACCCAGAGGAAAGATCTGGATGCTCTCTCCGACGCGTTGGAGCTGCGCTTTAGTAAGAAGTGTTTAAAAGATTACAGCAAGCTTCAGCGTTACGTACGGATGAAACTGCTCGCCAGTTGCTCTGCGAAAAGAAAAAGTGACGGTATATCCATACATAATAATGTTATATTACATTAAATGTAACACTGCTATTTGTGAGTGTAAATATCAGGTATAAGATATGTTAGATTAGGATTTTCAACATTCGTTACTTCACAATTTCACATAGATTTTCGACTTCTTTTTCATATAACGCATAGTTAAATCACTCTTAATGTCAAGATCAGATAAAGCACACAAAAAGAAAATCTTAAAATTGTGTGCATGTTACTTCAATATATATGCTAATTAGTTTGGTGAGAGAAATCTCAATCATGTAAAATTTGAACTTTAAAACGCTTTTTACATGCAATACACTTACCTAAGCAAGCCCTAACTCCACATGAGAAAGGCAAGTAACAAAATGCATCTCTCTTAGACGAATTTTCGGCAGAAAATCTTTCAGGATCAAACTTTTCCGGATTAGGGAACACATTGGGATTTCTATGAAGCATACCGATTAAAATAATTATACGATTCCAGCGTGGTACTATATATCTTCCTGAAATAAAGAAAATAGTGCAATTTAGGTATAAGCGTTTCCACGGTATACCTGTAGCGGAAATACACTTATTGAAAATGATTACCGAGAAACATGATGTGTGTTTACGAGTCATTTGAAATACGAACTGTGTTTCTGAAACGAAGAATAAAGTATTCAAATTTTCTAGTAGAGAAACTTGAGACTACTTGTAACAATTTTTGGGAAAATATATTTCTATTTTAAACGTATTTACGATTCCTTGATTATAACTGCAGTTCTTTTAAAGGATAATTAGTCATTCATCATATGGCTAAAACAAACATTGAGTTATTTAGTTGATTTTAGCACAAGAGGAATTTTACAACAAGTATTCATCTGTTACAATTTGCCTCGACTTGAAGTAGATATAACAAACCTGGTACAAATAGCAACAAAACGGGCAATATTTAAAAACCATTTATTGATTATTATTTACTCGGTATACTGGCAAAGTCGTTTATAGTGTCAAGTTTTTATCTACTGGGCTTATAAGAAAACAAAATTATTTAACCGCTGTACATAACAGGCAGTCTTCATCAGAACTGCAATTAACACAAACAAATGATAAATTGCTTTATCACACACATTTAACGTATGCATATATTTTGCAAATTAAGTATTGCACTCATCATGAATATCGCTACAGGCATCTCCGCATGTTAAGCTTATATGGTATTTCTCCCGCCTTCCTAGCGTGCCTTCGTGGTGTAGCGGTCAGCACACTAAACCGGTATTTCAGAGGTCCGTGGTTCGATTCTCGACAAAGGCATTGCTAATTTTTCATCTCTCTTGCTTCCAATTAACCTAATGTCTCTACAAGCTCAACCACCTTTCTCTTTCAAAACTTAAATCTGAGTAAAAAATGCCCTTTTTTATCTCTTTATTTTTTGTTCGAAGTTTTTCTTTAACTTTTCCCTTTCCTTTATCGTCGTTTTTTTGTGCGCGTTTGTAATTAATTATCTATTCATCTTCTTTTCCCAATGCTTCTGTTTTGGGTGTGTCAGTTATAACAGAAACATGCCTTTAGCACTGAATGAAGTTATACAGATATTTTATCTGGTACAATAAACTACAGGTTACAGGTAAACTGTTCTGTGATATACTAGACTATAATCTGCAGTTTTCATGTTCCAAGTTTGAAATATATTTAGAAATTTTAAATTTTAATTAAAAAAAAGTTACTACACGCTACTAAATTTGAATTTACAAAACAAGTAGCTTAATTCAGAAAGCTAAGTTCATTTGTATAATTTAGAAGCTATTTTAATTTGTAAAATTTAGGTCCTTTCAAATGTTTCTTTCAACTTTATTTTTTTAAATTTCATATACGCGAACAGTAGAACAAATTTTGGGAGTATTCATTTTCTGTGGCAAAATAATTTATAATTATAAATTTAAATTAGTATTTTCGTCTGCCCTAGTAATTAATATAATATTATTTGCGCAATTTTGATCTAGTTGAATTCATCTAAAATACGCTAGAATCAAGTAAAGGAAAAAGTAGGGGTCTTATGTTCTTATACACAGACGTTACCGTTACTTCGAAGAAGCCAGAAAAGAAAAAAAGAAAGAATCGATAATTCTAAAATACTGGGTGATTGAAATATGACCGGGAATGTTTTATGTTTTTACCAAAATCTCTAGTATGAATGAAAGATTTCAACATGTCGCCATACAACGTATTACCTTCCAGAGTTAATACATTTTTGGAGAAACTTCTGGAAGCATTATTGTACTATTTTCTTAGAAGATATTTCATTTGGTTATGAATCCATTCTCAAACACTAATGGTGACGGCGACTATAAGGAATTTAAGCCTAGGATTTCGAGATGAATTAGAATGGACCCACGTTTTATTGTCGGCCGCTGTAGACTTCCGAAATAAAACCCTCTTCAACTGCAAACCGCAATAAGAATGAACCGGCGGTTTGCATGACATCACTTTGCTGTCGTGTATTTAACGTACGTGTAATCCACCGGACATACACCTTGTTTTAATAGTGCAAATATTTCCCACATTGGTTCCTACGCTACCAATGACTGAAAGCATCGATACAAGTTCTTCCATATTGATGCACCTGCTCCCTTTAATAACCGTATTCACACCGTCAACGTTTGTCGCGGTGACGAGCTCTCATCCCTCAGTGAAGTGCTTACACTTCTCAAACGTATATGTCTTGGTGAAAACATAAGACATTTTCCCCCACACTATGCGTGAAATATTTATCAAATTTCTGATGGATGGATAATTTTTTTCTTGAAGTAGAAATTTTGATCACGATACTTTGTTATGCTCTCTGAGCATCTGCACTCTTTGGCCCGGGCGGCACAAATTTTGGAACGGTATTTTTTGCGTGATATATTATTTTATAGGTGTTAGTCATATGGATCGTTGAGAGAAGTGATGAATAAGAGAACAAGAGATTTTGACACTTATAAATTGATTCTGAATGAGAAGTAAAATAGTTTTTACTCTAGATAAAATATTCAAAGAGATAACCCCGAGATTGCAACTGCCATATACTCTTGTTATACCTCTTTTATACCCTCTTCTCTAAGTAGAAACATTTGAATGAAAATTAAGGATAACAACTGAATTTTGATCACATTTCATTAATCAGAAAGCATTCCTCGTTAATAGAGAAGTGTCTCAAAGTTTTAGTTCCGTTATTGCTAGAGAAAACGGAACAGGAATCTGAAAGGGCGTTCCTTCTGAATTTTTGCAGGTTATTCAAAAATGCAATTTCCAAATATTGATGAACTACTAAAAACTTTCCTCACAATTAATGTAACACTAAAAATGTTACTAATAAGTGTTTGTAGTAGTAAGTGATGATAGCTGCAAGAAGAGTCTAACTAAATATTACTGATTTAAGAAGTCAGTCCTGGGAGACAAAATCTCTAGCTATGCCACTGGCTCCAAAGCAGCGGTTTCTTGCTCCTCACTCTAGGGAATGCAAGACACGACAGAGCAAGTTCTAATCAGCACCCGGAGGTAAGGTGGGGGAGCGGCTGTACTCGCATAAACACATGCAACGCCATGCAGGAGTAGAAGTTTGTAACAGCAGCAGTCCTGCTCATATTTGCATCCCCTTGCAATAGACTGTACTTTTTCCTGCTATGAAAAATACCGCTTTTACGATTTCTGAAGAGTCAGCTTAACAGCCTGATGCAACTTGGCATTCTAAAAGCACTGTACTAGGAAGAATCAATGTCATGGCAGATGATGTTAAAATGAAAATGAACACAGAAGATGAAGAATTTCGCTTTCTTGCGCAATGTACAAGGCAGTTGACACCTATTACCATGAATGAAATATCTCTTACCCAGATAATCTGCATTTACAACTGAATGGTTTTACTATTATTTTCTCGTATCAATTAACACGGTCGCATCACAGTTATATTCCAACTACAGGCAAGTTTCAAAGATAATTGTTAAGTATTGAAAAATATCACCTCATTGTGAACAAACCTATCAAGTATTTTTCAGGATCAGAAAAAGATATATGTAAATAATAATTGCCACAAAAGAAACCCTTTTCAGTTAAACTAAAAAAACTGTGCGTGTATATTTCAGAAAGGTAACGCAGATATTCCATAAACATTCAAAACTATCAACATAAAGTGAACAAAATTGTTAAATATCCTTCGGAATGAGGGAACGATATGTGTAAAAATATTTGCCACAAAAATTACCATTCTCTGTCAAAAAATAAGTGCAGCTAAATGTTTTAGAATGGTAGCGTAATGATCCCCTTATTAAGGTAAACTTTGTTCACGTTCTGTCGTCAGTTCTACCAAAGTTTATTCGAGCCTTAGCCATTTTTTAGACGATATTAATTATGGGCCATTAATTAATTGAATGGACGATTTTGCGTATAGTGTTAGACTAAGTAACTTAAATTTGAATTTCATTTTATGTTATTTTAAATAACATAGAGGAGGATACTAGAAGGATAACTCGTTTATAGTCTAATCAGGTCTGAAAGACGCTGATTTAATGTTCTATACAAGCGGAAATGCTATGCTTAATGCCACATTGTGCAAAACAATACTTTTCGACTTGACCCACATGCGTTTTGGTAAGCTAGGCGATGGGTAAAATGAAGAATCTAAGTTGTGAACATATCAAAAAATGCCTTGGATTCTTGATGGCATTAAATAAAATTAAAACGTTACATTTGTTGTTAATTTCTTACTCATAATTTACTTTAAAGATGAAAAACAAAAGTTTTGCATTTTTAATCAATATACTCCTTTTTTAAAATAATTTAATATAAAATAAATAACTGTTATTCCAAACAAGAAATCACAAATCTTAATTAAAATGTATACGAATATTAATAGCAATACTTTGTTGCCAAATTAATCACGAACGTTAATTATCCTGTATGCTAATTCAAAATTCTGATTGATCACTTCGAACTTCTAGGAATTAAATCTCGATCTCGTTAGGGCGGAAAACGTACAAGAATTTTCAAGGGCAAAATCAGTGAAGTTCAAATAAAGCTGTAAATTGTAAATGGGGGAGGACACTCACCCACTTTAATACTTTCTTTGTTTTCTCTTCCTATGAGAGGTACAGGCGGATAAAGTCTCAGAGTTTCCTAGTAGTATAACAAGATGTGCATTAAGAAAAGTTGAAATATAATAATAAGACTGCATGCATGAAAAGAAAAATAATTTGCTTTTAATAACAGTTTACTCATAACTCGGGCGCCTATATAAATTACTGTATAGCTTATAAATTAAAATTATATTTATTATTATTTATTAATCATGAATTATTTATTAAGTTTGATTTCTCATTTAAAACATATAAGCCCCACTGAATTCAAGATTTTCGCAATTACCTCAAAAAACAAAAATAAATTGCAGAACTGAACATTGATTTAATTTATTAACCTAAACGCATTGATCAGTTTAAAATGTGTATATTTTTTATGGTGTGTATATTTTAAAATGTGTATTTAATGAGCTAAATATCCTTCTATTTGCTTAAGATTGTTAATTTATTGTCTTTTTAAAACCAGTTTTGTTCTTTACCGAAATGCTAAATATTTTGCGTCATCTTTCATCCGCTGGAACATTTAAAATGCAGCGAAATCTCTCATAGCGGCTTTTGTACAAAGACTTCTTTCAGAGTTTCTACTTAAAAACTAACCGAATCTTGTAAGGGAAATCGATTATCACAAGTAAAATATAAAAAGGACTACTTTTTTATTTTGAGGTAATTATCACTAGTAATGTATTATACATTTAAACAATAGTACATTTCGTGAAGAAAATAAAAAAGCTAGTAATTGAAGGTGTAAATATGTTATAAAAATAAGATTTTAACTGGAAAATGGCTGTACCTTGATAACTTGTTCTAGATATACCAAACTCTTCACATCTTCAATTCTAACCTCTCTTGTTTTATCATCTCCAAATACGGAATGTAATTCCTGGAATACTCTATCCTGAATGTCGGAGTGTAGGCCCAACAGACATAGAGCCCAATATAAACCTGTACTCGATGTATCATATCCCTATAAAAAGGAAAAAAGTGATTTAAATAAGGTTTGGAAATTTTGATTCCTATATGATTAGTTGATGCGTTATAATCTAGTGTGAATATGATTTGTACACACCTTCTTTATTGAAGTCCTTATGAGTCTTTTATTTCTGCAATCTGTTATTGTAAAAATGCTTTAAATAAGAAAAATATTCAAGCTATGATATATTTTAATTTAAATAAAATTTTAATAGTTGAGGGAAGATTTATATTTCTAAGTTCAGACTATGTGGAAAATCGCCAGATCAATCAAGATTACAGCTTGCTTTCTAATCTATCAGATCTCTAGAAAATAGTGACCGAATAATGTATCCGAATTCAGATATGGCAGACGTAATGAAAAATCAGCAGATTATCTTCCCTGTAATCCATTGTAATCCTGCCTATAATCGGAAACACGGAGAAGAAATCAGAGAAAGCTGGAAATGAATGATCATTCCTGCTCTTCTCCATCTCTGCTTCTGAAATAACGGGAATAATTAAGAGATGTAATAGCCACAAAAGCTAAACGATTTCAGTTTTTTTCAAATATAGTGATAAAGAAACTACTAAAATTTATCCCGTTTTTATCATAAACTTATTCAACGCATGTCTGAAACTCCACTACTTTCCTCATCAATGGTAGCATGCAATAACAGTATTTTTCGCCCAGCTGGAAAAATATCATCGAAATCCTCTGATATACAGCTCGTTAAACTACTTCTAGCTCTAGGGAAGATATCTGAAAACTTCCCACCCAGTAGACTTACCATTAAAAGAGCCCCTGAATAAATACATCCCTTCTAAGGACTAAAAAACTTCAGAAAAGACTATATTAACAATATCAAAAACTTAGTAACACCGAGTATATATTAGAATTTTTTTCACCTAAACAGATGCTGGTGACTGCCTCTTTTTCTCGATTTTAAGAAAGCATTTGACTGCGTTGAGCACCAAGTTCATTTTTATAAATTGTATAAAGTGCTGTTAATATACCGATTCCAGCACACTATATGTTTTGACCATAATATGTTTGCACCATAATATGTTTGCACGTACAGTTTCACTGTACGGACCTTAGTTTGCACCCTTGTAAGTTTACAACTCTTAAATTTATACCATTATAATTTACATTAAATAGACATAATTTATACCTACAGTATATTTTTGTTTATTATCTATAAACATGAATCTTAACTATTTTATATCAGTTAGCCATAATTTCTAACCATTCTACATTTCATGTTTATTATCCATAAACACTATCCATAAATATTTTAAGGAACTAGCCATAGTTTCTATCCATTCATCATTAGTGATTATAATCCATAACATTTGCCTATAAATAATTTATCTGATTTATCTGAGACATAGTTTATATAGACATAGTTTCTATCCATTCTTCATTAGTGATTATTATCACCAATAATCTTTGTCTATGTTAAGTTTAGGATTATGTATCCTAAACTTAGATTGCCAATAGATGGCGGTAGTGTTTGTTTGTAAAAAGAAACTGCGATGTCAAAATTATGTATATGTATCAGTTCGTCTTTGGTGTTCGTCAATAAACGTTGTGTGGAATAACGCTCCTCTGTTTATTACTTTACATTTGATCCAGTCTGATTTATTAGAGACTTGCACATATTTTGTTTATGGTGCCTGCAAACCGTGATTATTACGAACCAGAAAATCGATAGACTGAATAGTTCGAAAATGGAGGGTGTTCTTGAAAATTTGAAAAAGAAACCATCGGTTGTTAGACAATTAACTACGAAACTGATTACCAAAGTCGAAACGAATTTAGCAATTAATATTCCGCTAAATGAGAAAATTGAGATAATCGAGGATTTATATGAACAGTTAATTGAGAAAATCAACGAACTGAAAGTTTAGATTCAGAAATAGAAACGAAAGTAACTTCGGAGGAGATTGAAAATGAAGTTACCTTAAGTCAAGAATACCAGGATAAAACTGTTATATGGAGAGGAAGAATGCAACGAATTTGAAGAAGAATTCGGAATCTTCTAGAACAGTTCATCAGAACGAAACGGCTAATGTTGCACTTTCAGTTGATTGAAAACAGTGAAGTTACCACAAAACAAACAAAAAACAAAGCTTCTTATTCATATAAGAATAAGTTACAAAAATATACATTTTTTTAAATTCTCCTAAGACGTTATGATCGTTAATTCTAGGTATGCCTAGTCAAATATGTTCCTGGCCAATGACTTCCATAACAAATTAAAATTTTTCATCAAAACTGCATAACTTAGTTGTATATCTATCATGAAGTGAGGTCATTTTTTGACCTCCGTAAAGCCCATGAGTTATCGTTCCTTTTCCTATGCTCTTCAAATCCATGTTTTTTGCAACATATTTTGAAATGTAACTTTTCTGGCTGTCATTATAATCGCCCTCAACAGTAGGCTTGAGTTTTCAATTTCAATATAAATAGCCAACGTTTGCAACAAAACTTCTCCTTGCTTTTATTAGTTAGTAGACTCTGAATACATATAATTTATTCTTCCTCTTTTTTGCTGTTCAGAGCAAAAAAAATTGTGATGTAATCTAGAACAGAATTTACATTTAGTTTTCTTAATGGCGCAGTTCCGCGATCAGTGCTTTGCTTTTGTAAACACTTAAAACAGGCTCCTTTACGCAATGAGATATTTTCGCGCTCTTCTAAAGTAGGATTCATCACTGCATTGCATCAGTCAGAGGTATGTGTCATGGAATCACAAAATACACAAGTTGCTATCTTTTTCTCTTTATTACTCCCGAATGGCGTCGAAGCCGTCAATAATTCATTTGCAGTTGGAACATCCTTCAAATTTTGTTTGTTACTCAGATTCTTATCTCGCGGAAAATTATGTCTGGTGTCTTGTTTTCTATTGCTTAATTCGAATGACGACTTGTTATTAAAATATGTTTTTTCCCGCGCTGTCAACGCTTGTGTAAGAAACGCAAGTAATCGTTGAATGTCCGAACCAGATTTGCTTTTTTGTGATTTATTATATTTTAACACTAAATCAGTCGGAATAAGTTTTAATAGCATAGAACATAAAATACTGGCATAATGTTTGGGAGACATGTTTAACGATTCAAAACTTCTTAATTTCACATTACAGTTATCTACAAAAGTCCTAACCTAAGTCGCACACGACGTTGAAAACTGGTCCTAGAGGTTGCAAAGGGGTCGTGGTAACTTTTACGACGTCTTTACAACGTTGCGAAGACGCAAAATATTTGCAAAATATTGCAATTGATGATTTAGATCCAACCATTAAAATTTTAGTTATATTCGATGATTGTGTGACTGAGAGAAAGCAGAAGGCAATCAAAGAGTTTTTCATCAGGGGGGCGGAAAAAGAAGAGTATCGATCATCTACCTTTCACAATCCTATTATTTCGCCCCTATCAACATTAAAAAATTTCAATTATTTAATTTTCTTTAAATCAGGAGTTTTCAACCAGTGGTACGCAAGAGAAATAAAGTATTTTTAACTATTCAGTTCAAAAATTAAATACCCCAACATCCTGTTTAAGGTTTTTCTCTAAAACTCGTAAATTATGCGATTAAATTTATGCAATCCGAACTTTGTTCAAGGTGAATAGCCGCTCACAAAATTAAGCAAAATAATAAGTTTTTATTGTTTTAGAAAAATGGCTAGCATGGACTCAGCGGAAAAGTGATCATTCACAGGTGATGAATTCAGGAAAATCTACTAACACTAAGAATATTAAAAAGAAAAGAAAATTTGTTTATAGAATGTATAATGAAAGTTTAAAAGAAAAGAAAAATTGTTTATAGAAAATATAAGACAAGTTGAAAAGAAAAGAAAAATTGTTTATAGAAAATATAATGAAAGTTATAAATCATTTGGGTTTACTTGGAATGGTGATGGAGATTGGTCAGGCTCACACTGTTGGAAGGAACCTTATATTACTAGCAGCTAAAGGATATCGCTTTCACATTAGTCAATGAAAAAGCGGCTAATAAACTTAATGATATTTTGTTATCAAATGATACACTAAGTCGACGAATTCATGAGATGGCAAATTCCATAAAAGAGACACTTATACAAAAAATAAAACACAATGAGTACTTCGTATTGTAGTTGGATAAAAGTACTGATATAGTAACCTATGTTTAATTATTAGTTTGCATGCGTTTCGAAGAAAATAAATGAATTGTCGAAGAATCTTTATTTTGTGAATCTCTTCGTGACAGAGCAACTGTAAATGAAATTTTCAAAGTAAGTCACAATTTTATGTTGTTTCTACTGTGATTTGTTTAGTGAATTATGGTTGGCGCGTTTAGTATATTTAAATGATATTTTTGGAAAGTTAAATGAATTAAAATTAGGATTACAAAGACAAAGTGTTAATTTGTTAACCATTAGAGATAAAATAAATGCAATGATAAAAAAATGGAGCTAATAATCAAAGAATTGGATTATAACATTTTAAGCTTCTTACCACTGCCAGAAAGTTTTCTGACCGAAAATAATTGGAAAATAAAAGAAGGATTAGTGCCCGACATGAAAAATCATTGTTTTTTTCAATTAAAAAGTTATTTCAACATGTATTTTCCCGAGTATTATGAAAAGGAAAATGGGATTAGAAATCCATTTTGTTCAAATGTACCTGAAATTTTATCTCATGAAGAAAACGAACAATTGATAGAAATTTTCAGTGATTAAACTCTAACTGAAGATTTCAAAAATACACATTTGTTGACTTTTGGCTATACCGAAGAAAAGAACCTGAAGGCATTTCAAATAAAGCTATTAAATTTTCATTACCTTTTTGCACAACCTATTTGTGTTAACAAGGATTTTCTTCCATGTTATAATTGAAAAATAAATACAGAAAAAAATGAAAGTTAATTTATTGTTTAAACTAAGTAAAATAATACCAGACATAACGCACTGATGTGTCTTAAACTCGTCCAAATTTTACATTACATTTTAGAATTAAAATATTATAGCTTAA